AACAGATTTGGTTGCTATGCAATATATACATGGTCCATGTTTCCATCAGCCATGACTGAATCATTTTGTGCCAGTTCAAAGCCATGATATAACCTCAGGCAAGTGACTAATCCTTTATGAGGGCTTCCTCATATGCAAAGTGGGGATACCCTGTACATTAAGCATCAAACACAAGCCTGGAATGCAATGAGTCCCCAATAAAGAGCAGCTGGACGAGTCTGCAAGTGCCAACTCGGCTTCATGTACTGCCTCCACCACCGAGCAGTCAGTGCCCAGCTTCCTCAGTGACCGGCTCTGTGGACAATCACAGCAGCACAAGGACACAGTGAGATAAAGCATCCACGTGCCTAGCCCAGTGCCTGGCCCAGGGTACGCTCAGTAACTGTTCTCCTCCATTACCATAACTGTCACCCCTGCCTCTAGTGACTTCTAGTGACTTCTCTCACCCAGTTCACACAATACCCATGGCTCTTCTTAGCTCTATTTCAGACTCAATTGTGCATAAAAGTAACTTCAACTTGGCCTGATGGCCGAATGAGGAGCTAAAGAGAGCTGAACTACAATTCCTACCTTCAGCAGGTTAATCCAGCTGCACCAATAAGACATTTGCACAAAGTAACGACACCATGAGATTACAGATGACAAATACCTTAAGAGATGCATGGATGGCATGTGATGCGGGTTCTAAGGAGAGAGAGGGTATCACTTACAGCCAGTGCAGAACAAGAAAGTCTGCCCTGAGGTGGCTGAAACCTGAAGCGCGCCAAGTCTTTGGGCAGCATGAGAATGAGCAGGGAGGAAGACCATGCTCAGGTGGGCAGGGCTGCCAGGTAGAGTGAGTAGGATGTGCCCACGCAGGCCACTGGCTGAGGTGTGTGGGCGCTGCATCTGCTCCAGGAAAATGAGCCCGCTTACCATCAGTCAAGTCTGACTCATGGCGACCCCATGTGTGTCAGAGTAGAACTGTGCTCCATAGGGCTTTCAGTGGCTGGCTTTTTGGAAGTAAATCTCCAGGTCTTTCTTCCGAGGTACCTCTGGGTAGACTTGAACTTCCAACCTTTCAGTTAGCTGCTGAGCACCACCCAGGAGTGCAACGAGTCCTCAATGAACAGCGGCTGGAGGAGTCTGCGTACTGTTGTGGCTGAAAGCGCAGAGTCTGAGGTGGGCCTGGTATACCACTTCTACTACTGACCAGTCAGTGCACACAGGTGGCAGTCTGGCTGGTAAGGGCCTAGGAAGGGGGCATTTCAGGCAAAGGGTACAGCATAAAGGACCGGCATTCCTAGGCACTGAATACCTGCTGTGTGCTCCATGCTGTCCCAGAGCTTTATGCAAATTTCCTGATTTGATCCTCACAACTGTTGCACAGGGAAGGATTGTTATTCCCATTTTACAGATGGGGAAACAAGTGCAGATGGTAAAGTCATGTGTTTAGGGCCACACAGCCAGCCTGGGGAAAAGCAGCCTTCTGAATCTAGAGCTTCCTGTTCACTGTTGCTATCGCCACACATGGAGATGGGGCAGCCGAAGTTACTTTAGAAACATGGAATCAAAAACTGGTTCTTTGAGAAGACTAAACAAGATATATACGCATCTGACAGCAAGGACAAAAAGAGAAGAATCAAAAGTAAGATGCTAAATGAAAACGGAGAATTAACTACAGACATAATTAGAGATTTGAGAAATAGTAAAAATGATAAAATGATGGTTAGGACCAATGAGGACCAATTGCATGAGTGAATTTGAAAACACAATGACATGGATTATGTATTTACAAAGTTAGTTAAACATAATATACTATAATTAAGTTAAGATTTGTACTAAGGATAATTTAACATTAGAAAACATTAATGGGACCGTGGAAGGGGAAATCACATAATTACCTTAATGTTTGTTGAAGTATTTGATTAAGTTAGATTCCTACAAAGTAGCAATCAATTCTCCAAAATGTAGCCATAAATGGGACCTTCCTTAACTTGATCATGGCAACCTATCAAAACCCACCTAAAATAAGCATATTTAATAGGGAAACTTCAGGTGTTGTGTTTAGATGATCTTTCCATCTGGAGTAAATTAAGGATACTTACTATCATCACCAACCTACAAGGGCCTGACCATGCATGTAACAAGACAAGAGACAAAACTATCAGTATTTGTTGTTGTTGTTATGTGCCGTGGAGTCGGTTCAGTCGACTCATAGTGACCCTGTACAGGGTTTCCGAGGCCGTAAATCTTTACGGGAGCAGAACGCCTCATCTTTCTCCCGCGGAACAGCTGGTAGTTTCAAACTGCTGACCTTGTGGTTCGCAGCCCGATTCGTAACCACTACGCTACCAGAGATGACATAATCATTTTTATAGAAAATCCAGTAGAATCAAGGGAAAAGCTATCGAAAGGGGTTCTGGTGGCACAGTAGTTAAAAACTCTTGGTTATGAAACAAAAGGCTGGTGGTTCGAACCCCTCAGCCGCCCTGCAGGAGAAAGATGAAGCTGTCTGCTTCTGTAAAGGTTCACAGCCTCGGAAACCCTCCGAGACAAGTCTACTCTGCCCTGGACGGTCACTATGGGTCACCATTAACTCAACAGCAGTGTGCTGGGTTAGTTCGGTCTGCAAAAATTACTTCCTTCATGGAAAAACTGAAAATTCTGTTAAAGGACATTTAAAAACATGTGGATTGAATGAAGTCTGTATAGGGTGGCTGTCTTTGGGAGGAGAAGTAAATGGGAGGGAAGGATAAAAGTCATCATCAATTGATGATGGCCGTGTTCCATGCTCCGAGGTAAACAAGGCACTTGAGGTCCTCCTCTTATAACCAAACAAAAACTGAAACCCAAATCCCTCTACTGGTATAGTGTGACAGTTTAGGGTAAGTGTAGGAAGGGGCGAGGTGAGAGGCAAGGCTGTGAATGGGTTGGGACTGGGTCATGGGGAAGTTTACAGGACACTGGCTGCGAAGTCTGGACGTCTTTGTCTCAACAACTCAGTTCCTAGGGGCGCTGAGACTTTACTGGCCTTTTCCAAACTCTCCTTAGCAATCCAGCTCAGAGGCTCCAGCTCAGAGGCGGCTCTCCATACACAGCTGGGGACCACTTGACTGGATCCCTAGAACTAACTCCTCTCAGACTCCTAGTCTCACTTCTGTTTTCTAGTTGACCCTCTTCCCAGTTGACTAAGGCTGTGAGGAGAGAAGAGCTCTCATGAAGGATGGGACTTTCAGTAGCTCAGTCTTGGGCACCCTGGTGAGAGCCAGTCA